TACGTATGGTGCGTGCTCAAAAGTTTCCCTTCCCAATTGTCTAATTTTATTTTGAGTCAAATTTGCAACATATGGCCTTCCATTGTCATGCAAGAAAATGATGTTATTCCGATTTGCGAAGACCAGTTGCTTTTGAAGTAGAGCTTCATGCAAGCACTGCAATTGTTGAGAGTAAACATCGTCGGTAACCGTTTGATTGGTATCTAAGAGTTCGAAATAGATGACAATCTTTATATCCCATCAAGCGCACAACATTAGCTTATTTTAGTGTAAATCTGCTTTTATGTTCGGTAATGGTTTCTGGCCAGGATTGGACCACTGTTTTCTACAACGAAAGTTGACGTAGCAGAAACATTTTTCATCTCTAGTAATGATTCGTCCCAAAAATGGATCATGGTTCTGTTGGAACAGCAATGAAGCACAAGTTGGTACTCGCTAAGTCAAGTTGTTTGTCGACAATTGCCGTGGAATTCAATTTCCGTACTTATGGATTGGAGACAACGATCCACTATCATAGGAGAACAGTTGAGTTGCATGGCCAATTCACGAGTTGTTTGACGTGGATTAACATAAAACAAAATCTCCAATGTTTCGTCGTCAAACTCCATAGGTCGCCCTGAGCGAGTTGTATCCGTCAAGGTGGTATCGCCGAAACAAGACTTGCCAAACTAACGATAACACGTGGAATCGTCGGCGGCTCTCTCATCGTATTATGTAATTCAATACGTGACATGACGCAATGTCAGGAGAAATGAAGTGATTTTTGCAAAAGTATTCTAAATTCTCAGAATTTGTGTTACAACCCAATATTTTAGGTAATCAAACTCCATTTTTTTTAAAGTAATTGATTAAAATGATTCCTCAGAAATAAAGATATACAGGGTAAGCTTTTTGTATTCTGATGACTAGAAAAAAAATTTCTATCTTATCCTACTCTGTAAGATCTCTATCCTTACCCCACTCTAACATGTAGAATATCTCCGTCAACCTTATCCTACAATGATCGATCAATTCAGGAAATTGTGCTTAATATTTCGAGGTCACTATTTTCATCATATGTCGACAATGAATATGATTACTTTTTGAATAATTACTTGCAGAAAAACTTACTGTATCGGTCATTTGACTATGCATAACAAGAATTTCGATACGTTGATCACGAAAGAACTGTTGAAGAAATTTAACTGTTTTTGTTTTATTACAAAATATTAAACACGAATGTTTCTTTTCTATATCATATTTGACTAGTTTTAATAGAAGACCTATAATATTAAATAATAAAATTAAGAAATATAAAAATTCTTAAAAACAAACCGAGTTTTTGTTGATTACCAATACGATAAAATTTCTGAGGAACATGTGGCATAATACGATGTACAGATGGAGTTAACATTTTATCAATTTGATCAGCCTATTAAGAAAAACAAAACAAAAAAAGATCCTCTTATAACATCATTTCAGTTAACACAAACACTGATTAATTCTTTTAAACTTTCTTCAGTCGTTGTAGGTATTGTAGCAGAAACAAAAATAAGTTGGACAGCTGGTGAAGCATTATGTTCAAGATCATTTATTGGTTGTACATCAACCTATATGTTTATTTTTATTTTTATTTTTTGAATATATTCATTACTTACTTCTAAACGTCGAATAATTTCAACAACAGCAGGACTAAATGTGATGTCAAGTAGAGTATCAGCTTCATCAACAATTACATGTCGAAGATTACTACCGATTAAACGTCGTTGAATACCAAAATGCTCATCTAGATCGATTAAAAATACAGAAAAATATAACGATAAAATCAAAATTTACCTTGTCTCAAAAGTCGTAATAGAATACCGGGTGTTGAAATAATAATATCAACTTCACCAAGAGTAAAATTAAGAGGATCCTATCATCAGAAACAAAATCATTTAAACATTCTAAAAAAACGAACAAGGAAACTGCTTCAAGTGATTCAGAGATTTTGCACTGATAAATGTTTTTCTCCTAACTAGGATTCAGTGAGACTAGAAAAATCCTATTTGAATTAGAACTCACAGGTCTTTCTTTCCAAGTTATGGTTATTTTACTAAGCTTATCGTTTATGACAAGAAATTTACCGAAAACTCAAAGTATAAAATTTTGATGTGAAACTCTCCCCACACTTTGATTTTATGATCCTTATGGCTATGTAAGGGCATCCATTCTTTTGGAACACTTCTAGTTTGTATGTAGGAGACACTTCAGATCGAAATTCTGTACTTTGAGTGTTTGGTAAATCTCTTGTTATAAGAGATAAGCCTAGTAAAAATGCTCATAACTGAGGAAGAAAGATCTGTGAGTCCTTATCCTATTACACCTTTTCTAGTCTCACTGGGTTCTACGCATTTGAAAAATATGGGTGTAAAAACTTTGAATCACTTGCAGCGGTTTCTTCGTAAGAGAAAATCAATTACTTTATCTGTATTAATTCCAATTAAACTTCGTGTACGAATATTTAATTGATTAAATACTTGTAACATGTTCTAGAACGAAAATCGTTTAGAAAAAAAAAATTAATTTCTTATCTTTCTCTCACTTCAATCTGAGCAACTAATTCTCGAGTTGGTGCAAGAATAATTGCAAATGGTGCATTTTCCACTTGTATTATACGATTTGATGATTTCCAATGAAGAAGTGATTCAATAAGAGGTACAAGATATGCTAATGTTTTTCCACCACCTTTTCAAAAATAAAAAAGAAACAAATTTATTTAAAATAATTGTAAAATGTTTTTTTTTAATTTTTTAACCAGTTTCAGCTGCTACAATCATATGACGACCTTTTCGTAGTTCTGGAATAACACGTGATTGAGTTGAAGTAGGATTCTGAATATTGGCTTTTTTAAGCATTTCTATAAGTTCTGGTTTACAATCAAGTTGTTCAAATGTTTGAACAGTTGATTGAGTCCATGATGGATTTTTAAAATGATGATCAATAGTAAAAAAATCACCTTTTGATAATCGATGTTGCCAAGCACCGGAAGCGACATTTTTTTCAGTCATATGCCGATATTGACGGCCTTAAAAAAAAAAGAACATTTTTTCCTATTAAAAAGAAACATATGATCTTATATTTTTCTATGTTTATAACAATCATAGCAAAGCAAAATGAATCTAAAAATATCGCTGTTTAAAATTCCACGTAATTCATCGGGAGTTTTTTCAATCGAATATGTGAACAAGGTTAAAATAAATTAAGTGTTGCCTAGTGGCAGATTCAATAGCCCGATATGTTCTCTACCGTTAATAGTAGCTGTAACTCTGAATAGCAGGCCAGCATGACACAGAATTCCTGTGTTCAGCTGCTTGAGCTCTTCACTATATACTAGCTACAAAAGCAGGTGTACGTAACATCGTAGTCAGCATGCTATCAGATGAATGATCCGAGCTAAACAGCCATTAGTGACTTGTACGAGGTTATTCCATGGTTGATGGCATTGAAGTTTGAGCACAGTACTTTGTGATCACGTACTGAATAACGACGCTACTCAGCCATGATGGCCGCAGATATTCCAACTTCCCATAGATCATGACAGATATCTTAGCAACGACAAATCACAGATGCGACAAACATCCCTAGCAGTGCTTTCCTCTCACACAGTGTGCATTTTTCGCACGCCAGATGGACATGCGAATTTCTACGCTCAGAAATGATTAGATATGATGCAGAAAAACATTTTTTGAGAAGAAAAGTTTTTCGACAGAATGTTTTTGTATTATATATCATTCGATGCAGTTTATTGTGCTGATTCCGAGCATACTATTTTTGACGATAAAATATTTTTTCAAACTCAAAAATATTCAAAAATCTAGATATTTTAGAAGCTCACTATGCAGTCCGGCAATGTTTGCGCTAACGGAGATTAGAGGTAGTAGATAGAAGAACATTCTAGCAAATTTTGGAAAATGGATTGCTCGCTTTACGGAACTAGCAGTTCGGATGACACTATGGAGAAAAAGTATTATTATTTTTTCTCATAAGTTAAACATGCAAATTGAAACATCTTTTTTTAGCATTGTATAAAGTTCAATTTGGAGAGTCAGAAAATGATATTTGATTTGTTTGTCGAATAGTTCAATTTTGTCAGATATCAATTTTCCTGATGACATCCAGATTCTCAGACTAACTTGTTTTTGAATTGCTTGGATGGTTGTAACAAAGTTATCTGTATCATTAGAGAGACAAGATTTTGAAGTATATTTAAATCTTGAAAAAGCTCAATTTTCATTTTTAGTTAAATGTCCGCGTAGATGCATACTGCTCCCCCCTCCTCCTCTGCACTATAGACTGTGACAGATGTTGCTGATATACGATTAAAGATCGTTTATGAACTACTTCCTTATTACATTTCTCGAGGATTAAGTACAAAGGTGTTGAACGAACGTCCGTCAAAATGGATACCATAAAACAATCTCCCTGTTATTAGCAAGAGCAGCTACATTGTGCTTCAGATTTTAATCCTGCAGAGATTGTTCTAACAGCTTTTTTGCAAGAATTCATTAGTTATAAATTACCTGGATAATGATTAAATCCAGAACGTTTACAAGCGATTACTGGTGATTGTGATCGATCCTATAAAAAAAAGTTTATATATATGAGTGATATCCATATAGATAAACTTACTCCAGATGGATCTTCTTCTTGTTCTTTTTTATAGATTTTCTTAGCTCGTTGTCGTTCAATATTTTTAATCATTGAATGTGGTACTGTTATTTGATTATTTGTTTCAATAGGATTCTATTTTATATTAATTAATTTTGAAAAATAAAATAAAATAAAGATATATTTATTTTTTAAACTTACAATACGATATGATGCTAAATTGATTAAAAATGCTTGATTATGATTTTTTATTAAAGCAGAAAATAATCGTCGATAACAGACAATCATCTTCAAAATAAATAAAAAATTTTTAAGAAGTTTTTTTTTTTGTTTCTTTTATTTCTTTTTATTTTAACAAAAAACAAAAAATATCAAATTAACAAAAACAATTCTAAATCATGTTTACGTAATTTTTCTTCAAGATTTTCTACAATATGTAATTTAACTTTTTTTAATTGACCAGTATTATAAACACGATAGATTTGAAAATGTTGATTTATATCTGACAATGAACAACAATATTGTAATTCATTATATGTTATTGGTATTAATTGACGATTATTACTTAAAGTACTTTTTACTTCAATATAAATTATTAGTTTTGATTTAAGATTTTTTATAATAAAATCATAGGGTTTTCCTTGTTCAAATTTTTCATTAAGCCATATGATTTCAATTTCATTCAATTGAATTTTATCATGATATTTAGCATGAAGATATTCATTAACCCATTGTTCACCTGAAAAAATTTAATTTTAGATAGATATAAATGAGGAAAAAAAATATATATATATATATATTTACCCCATCGACCAATTTTTTCCAATGATTCTTTATTAGAACCAATTATTGAATCTCGATTATCAAGTACTTGATGGGTGAGATCTTCAATATTAACATGTTTAGTGTGTTTTTCAATAGTTTCACAAGGCGTATCAATAATTACTGACAAGGCACCGGTACGAATATTATCAAGTCGAGGAATCGAATCTTCTGTAAAGAAAATGATATAAAATGTTATTTAAAATGTTAAATAAAAAGTCGAAGCATATAACTTTTAAAGAAGGCAGCTGAGAAAAAGACTTTATAACTTTTGAACAAAAAGTCGTATCGGTCTGTGGTTTTCATCATTTAATAGAGGATGGTGTCGGGTACAACCCTATGTATACGGAGGGTATTTTTCCAAAGTAGTGAATTTTCCAGAAAAGTTAGTCTTACATGTACTCGCTCTCATAAAAAAAACTCTAGCATCTCAAAAAAAGCAAACTATCGAAGTTGCTTAGATACCATTTTGAAGAGAACGATTCAGGCTACAAAACTAGCGAAAAAAAACTTTCCAGGAAAATTCACAAATTTTCCTCTAATTTTGCCTACTAAAATTAGCTTGAAAAAGTACTTTATTAAAACACCTCCCTTCCTTACATAGAGTTGTGCCTGACGCTGTCCTCTATTGAATGGTGAAAACTGCAAGTCGCTATGACTTTTCGTTTAAGAGTTAGAAGTAATTTTTTCTGTCAGCTGTCTTCTTTAAAAATTTCGATACTAGTTGCGCGTGCTCGTATCTAGTCGCTAGTTATTACAAAAATTTCGGTCCGAACCAAAAGTCATACACGACTTCCGGCGCAGGTTCCAATTCCTCTTATTACCTTCGCTAAAAACCAAAAATCATAAAAAAGTTCGTATACTCCATAGTCCTTAGTACAATAGCGTAATCCATCGAATATGAGTACATACTCATACTAACTCACTCTTGATGTTGTGGATTTCTAAATAGGTTATTCAATAACCTAACCACTGAATATGTAGAAACCTTTTTTGTAAAAAGCAATATACTTTTAATAGTGTCATTTGGAACTGAGCCGTGCAGTGTAAACTAGTCTGGCGGGCTAGGCTCGAATTCATAGACGTCGAGCCTGCCAGACATTAGCAATTCTTAAACGGGACTATCAAAAAGTGGTTCGATTTCGAAGCCTGCTATTTGATCTCTTTAAATAGACGATCATCTAAGACTATCGAATTTGGAGATTATAAAAATAATAATCAATATGTTTTGATGAGAAAAATGAACATTAGAACATGAGAAAATATAATAGTCAAAGAATATATGAGAATAACTGTTTGACGATAAACTTTATTCATTGTATTTAAATTATTTATTCTTTACCGGAAGCACTTTGATGTTCAATAGATGAATTGGTAGTAATCGCGGAAGTTTCAGATGGATGTTTTTTTAATTCTTGTCGTCTTTTTTGTTTATAAGCACGATATTGTTCTTGATTTTGAGCAACATTTTCAAGTAACATTCGAACTTTATTTTCATCTAAATATGATTATTTTTATTATATTATCTTAAAAAAAGAATTTTTCTTTCTTTAAATACCAATATTTGGTTCAATATGTTTTGATATTGATAGTATTTGCCATGGAATATCATCTGAATCTTTAAAATTTAAATCAAAATTTTGATATTTAGCAAACATTTCAAGATTATTTTCTTCTTCATTATATAATAAATTCATAAAATTGCCAAGTGAACGTATTAAATCATCATTATGATAAGGTAGAAATATTCGAGCAAATGAATGAAATATATTTCGATAATATTTTGATTGTTGTGTCCATTCATGATGAATATAAAAAATCTTATGATTTTTATCATAATATGATTTTTCTTCTTGAATTATACAAATAGATGAATCAAATTTAAATCGATAAATTAATTGAAGATAATCAACAATTTTAAATTGTATATTCATAAGTAATGATGACATATTTATTGATTTTGTCCATTGATATGCATCAAAAAATTCTGAACGAGATTTCATAAATAATTGTATATATGGAATAAGTGGTGAAAGTAAATTTTGAATAAAAATTCCATTCGATGGATTTTCAATAATATGTTCAATTGTAATTGATGATGAAAGAGATTTTATATCACACATATTAAAAAATATTAAAGCTAGAGGAACAAAAAAAAAAACCAATAATAAAAATAATAATTATTTAGTCATTCATTTATGTACCTTCTGATGATGATATATCAATTAATGGAATATTTTTCATATGAATAAATAATTCTCCAATATCATTAATATCAGATATCAATGGATTATCATTCAACGAAACCCAACGATGATCTCTTGTAGGAAAAATTGATTTATGAAATAGTTTATCTAAATTAAATTTCATGAGAAGAAGAATTATTCATTTTGAATATATATTGATGGTTCATAGGACTTATTGCCTGGCGAGGTTTTTTTTTCACAGAAAAAATATAAAAATTGGTTCATCAACAAGATGAGAAAGAAATATTACTGTATCAACCAACGATCTTTCTTTCAAATTCAACAAGTGTAATAATTTTTCAATCTACTTAGTCTTATGTATTGTGACTGACATTTTTTTGTAAATAATGAATATCTGAAGTATATTTCAATAAACAAAATATATGATTATGATATAGACGAACACCATCTATGAATGCAATCAGTACAAATCTCTATAATCAATATCAAAGAGGCACTCACATTGTCGATTTCGATAGGTTTTCGCCAATATTGACGAAAGTACATGGGTACACTAGCGAAAGTCCTATTCACGAACTTCGGACAGTAAATCGTGTGCTCGTCTATTAATAACTTATTAATTGATATTTGTAAAAGATGCGAACACTCCCCAGTTCTGGAATTGATACTATCAGCTCGCTGAGCTCAATCCACTGGTAGTATCAGTTCGTGCTTTGAAGGTATTCGCATCTTTTACAAATACTCCCTCTATTAATCTACTCTTAATCATAAGATAAAATCTGTAGCGACAGATCTTGTAAAGCAGTTTTTCGTGAAACATGATATAAAAGAAATATCGAAATATAGAAGGAAAAATTTGGACCATCCCTAATTCTTACTTTGTAAATCTTGTTTTTCTGTGAAATTATTCGATTGTTCACATAATTTTCCAATAGTTTTAAAAATTAAAAGTGCATCTTGAATAGTATTTTCTGTTGTTTCAAGTGATGAGATATGAACTTAAATAAAAAGAAAAATATCATGTTAATTTCAATTAAATAATTTATAAAATTCATACCTAATAAATTAATATATTCTTCAATTGTTGGATTCAATGGAATAGAAAATGTATCAAGAAAAATTGATTTTTGTTCAGTATAATAAGATTCGAGTAAATAATGATTAATTGTTTTCAAACACGAAGAATATTTAACAAAAAGATTCGTTGAATCATACCAACAAACTTCAGATATACTAACAAATTTACCACGAACAATGCTTGTACAATCTACTGATGATAATGATGAAATTGGTACAAAAAAAATTGATTTATTATTAATTAATTCTCGTAATTCATTAATACTCATATTTTCATAGATATATTCATAAATATTATGCATATGAGAAATTGAAGTATAAAAAATTGAATTCTTACACCAATTAAGTAACATAGAAATAACATCAGTTAATGTTATATGTTCAATAAGACCAATATCATTTGCAAATGATGAATTAAAATTAATATCAATATCAATATCAATATATTGAACATGTTGTCCAAAAAGTTGTTCAATTTGTTTTGTTTTTAAATAAATATTATTTGGTTTATCTAATTTATAAATTTGATTTAATTCAATATGTTCATTATAAGAATAAAATATTTGAATTGTTGGTATCCATATAGATTCTTTTAAATGATTTAAAAATAATTCATTATTATGACATCTTGTATAAGTTTCTTGTAATGCTAAAAAAAGTTTTTTATTCATTGATATTGATTGAATTTGAATTAATGAATTAAATTGTTTATATGTTGAATTTTGAATTGGAAATAAAAAATTTGAAATACCTAATTCAGAAAAAAATTCATGCAATTTTTTACGATAATTTAATGATGAATTTTCAGGAATATATTCATCACTAATTAATATCCAATTATATGTATTGAAATCTTTGGATAAATCATATGGATTACCATATTTTGGTGTAAAATAAATTGAATCATGTATGGGTTGTTTAAAATTATCATTTGTTAATAATTGAACAATTGATTTTAATTGAGTCATATCAATATAATGATTCTAGAAAACATTTTTTTTTTAGACAATAATAAATTTGTTCATAGAGATATTAGTCAACTTCATTTCATTCAAATCAAATATATTCGTCTCATGTCAACTACGAAAAATAATTCTTAATATTTTTTTCATTCGAGTAGTAAAAAATGCTTTACTTGTTATGTTTTATTTATACAATGGTATCAAAAGGTTGATCGTATGACAAAAGAAAGCTGTTAATAGAATTCGTGTGGGATTAAAATGTGAAACATGATATAACTGCTCTTGTCAATCACAGAGAGATTGTTTTATTCAATCTATTTTGACATATATTTCTTCATCACCCTTTACTTAATATTTCAGAAATGCAATAAGTAGTTCATATATTAGAACAAGACAGTATTGATATACGATCTGCAGGAAGCTGCAGGTCCTTTCAGATCTGGATCCGGACCCAATTGGATCCAGGCCCAAAGTTTTATTTTTTTGTCGGATCCGAGTCCAACCTTTTATTTTTTGTTGGACCGGATTACATGTTTTTGTGGACCCGCTGCTCCCTAGATGAGAAGTACAGCAACAAGATATAACTGTATGGTGAATTTTTCCTCTGAGAATAACGAATAAATAGCTAAAACCTTAATCCTTTACTTGTTCATGTGCACGAAGGGTGCCAGGTATTAATGGAAAAAAACCTTCAATTTGGACTCAGTCGGATCTGAGTCCACAAAAACGTGAATCCAAAGTAGATATAAAGGATTAATATTTATTATATTTATAGTCTTACCTGTTTTGACCATAGATCAAAAATATACATAACATAAGCAATAAGAGTTTCAGATGATTTATTTTTCCATAAATATTCATTTTCAAAAATTGGATATATATGTTGTTCACAAATAGCTCGATGTGTTAAATGTTGTATTCCAAGTCGTTCAAGTAATGTTTGTATTTGAATTATTTCAATTGAATTTTTTTCTAAATTCATCCATAATTCTTCATTGATAATCATTAAATCATTTTCAATTAATTTTGGTAATTGAATATTTTTCGATGGAAAAAAAATAATTTGTTTAATATGATTTAATGAAATAAATTCTTGATAATTTTTTAATGGAAATATTTTTAATGATTGAATATGTTTTAAAACTTTTTGTTCATCATTTAAAGAAAGTTCATTTAAACATCGATATAAACAACAAAACCATTTTGATAGAATTTTTTTATTTTCAATTGTTATTTCTTTAGTAAATATTTGTTTAATAAAATCAATTAATTCATTATGACCAAGACGATGTACACCAAGTTCATATAATTGTTTTTCATGTTCATATAAATCATCTTTTAAATAATATAAATTAAGATGATTATATAAAAGTTCTGGTGTTAAAATTTCTTTTATAGTTAAATCATTTATAAGTACACATTCATTTGGCATATGTAAATTATTATCATTAATAACCGGTAGAAATCGTCGAGAACGTAATAAATGAAGTATTTTTCGACATACAGGTATAAAAAGATTATTACTATAAATTGAAATTTCATTTGGTAGAAAATAAAGAAATAAACGAAGAGGATCAATAGGTAAAGATGATTGTTCTTGATAAAAAATATCAAGTGATGAAAGAAATATAGATGGAATTTCATTAAGAAGAAATTGATTCCATATACTATCACTTAAAATATCTTGTCGTGATGATGGAATCTAAGTCAATTAATTATTTAAAAATTAAGAAAGTATATTAGAAAACTTACTTCAAAATCAGCTTGAATAATAAATGTAAAACCAAACTAAAAAAAATGAAAAACAGAAAGTTTTGGATCGGGAAAGAGGAAAGATTCCTTTAAATACTGGAATATATTGCGCCTTTAATCTGAACTAAAGTTCAAAATTTATTTAAACCATTGGATTTATCTATTGATAGAATATAATACATTTTAAAGAGAGTCATAGTTCTGAAGAGTCAACCTTTCGTTCTCGTTCTAACTCTCAGCTAAGTATCTACTTTCAGCCTAATTTCTTTTGTTTAATATAACAAAGTTTATTGAAAAATCCTGAAAGCTAAGAAAATGTAAATGATATGAATTTCATTAACATATTCACGATTAATACTATTAATTTCAAAATATTTTCTTACCGTTCTTAATGGTAAATAAGCATATACATCTTGTTTAGTTAATAGAATTTTTTCATTATTATTAATATTATGTAAAGGAAAAGCTAATGCTATTTCAGTTGCTTCAATAGTATCATCGAAATTTGTTTTAATTTCATTTGGAATAATTAATTGTTTTTTAATAATAAACCATTTTTCAATAATTTGTTCACAATGTATTTCAACAATATTTGTATTAGACATATCAATACGTTCATAGATTTGTTTGGAATTTATTAAACGATTATGAATAGTTATTGAACGAAGACGATTTAAAAAAAGTAATAATGATGGACGTATATCATGAAAACTTTCTGTTAATGAACGTGATTTATGTTTTTGCATTTCATTTTCTGATTTTAATGGTAAACATATTCGTGTTGTCCAATTTAAATATTCATTATCTTTAATTTCATTTTCTATCCAATTCGGTAATATATATCCTATTGAATCATTAGATGCATCAAAACAAATTTGGTAACCATTAGAATAAATTTCTGGACGATTACTACAAATGACAAAAAAAAAAAAAAACTTTCATAAGTGGATTAACACATTTTTGATCAATTCTTCGATTCTCTCTATTAAAAATCAACTTACCAAACAGTAAAAACTGATTTAAAACCAATACCTTTTTGTCCAATATAACCTTGTTTATGTTTACCTTTAGTTGATTTACCAATATCACATAATGCTTGAATATTATTTTCTTGAAATCCAATTTCATTATTATATATATTAATTGAATTAGAATCAATAACAAAAACTAAACTAGGTTTTTGAATATATTGATTATCATCAGCATTTTGAATTAATTCAAGTACAAAATGCATATCACTATTATATAATTCTTTTGAAAGACGTTCTAATGATCGACCAATAAGTAATTTTAATTGATTAGTTAAATATTGACTTTCATTTGAAAGATTTAAACCAATACCAAATTTCTCTCGACGAATACGATCAATTAAATCATAAGGATGATTATTATTATTATTATTATTATTATTAGTAGTAGTAGAAAATATTTGTTCAACTTTTGAAACTATTGAAGATGTTACATAACTTGGAATTGACAAAGATAAATTTTTTTCTTCTTGAATTTTAATTGATGATTCAATTTTTATTTTATCTATTGACCATTCAGTAAATCCTAATTGTTGTCCTAATTGAATAAATCGTATGAATATATTTGGATCTTGTTTATTAATTGTTTTCCATAATATTTCACGTATTTTTATTTGACTACCTTCAAGTTTAATTAATGATTGAAAAAAAATTCGTTCAATAATTGATGAAAGAAGAAGAAATGGTATACGAAGAAAAATATGTATAAGAAAATTATATAATCGATTATCAAGTGTTATAGTCAAGAAAAATGTATGTACGATATTTGAAAGAAGAGATAATGGAGCATTATTTATTGAACCATATTGAACAAGTATTGAGACAAGATGTCCAGAAGTTAAGATTGGATCATAATTATAAAGAGATTCTTTGAATAGTTCAAGTGTAGAATTTGAAGATAATTTAAGAAATGTAACATGATCAACTTCAAGTATTGAAATCATATGTCGAGTGAGAAATGCTTTCAAATTACCTAATATTGAACGAAAATGTAAATTCCATTGTGTATCAAAATGAAGATTTCCAAGAAGTGGACATTGATTAATAGCATTTAAAGCTTGTTGTTCAACATCTAAACAATTTTTATCAATAATTATCTAAGAAAATATTCTTAATCATCTGACATTATATCAAATGAGTTGTTCTAGATTAAACTTTCAAATATTTTCAATATCAAAAACAACATCCTTTATTCTAATATCGTTAAGGACAGTCAGGAAAGATATCGAACTAGTGAATCTGCCACTAGGCACCACTTCATACTGTAAGGTAGGGATACTTTTCCATTTCCTTATTCGATGGTACTTTGAGGATTAGAAAGAGAGAATTAGTCATTTTGTAGTTCTTGAAACGTTCTACTTTTTAGCTACAATTCAAAGTTTTTTATATCGAAATGTGAACTATAGGAAATATAAATTTCGTTTTTTGAAAATTTTCGAAAATCGCTATTACGTATCAGCAGTTTTAAGTATTTAGAAAAATTCTCAAAAGTCGATCAGAACTGAATTTTTCATCCGAATGATCAAAGTAAAATAAACTAAATTTTGATCATTGCAAACTCAAGAGGAGAGTCCTTCAATTGATTAATCGATTTTGGGTCAGAGCTATGTACATCATGTAGACTCAAATAAGTTTTAAATATCCTACAAAGAATTCGAATCTTTAGCTTATTGTTGCGTAGATACTCTAAATTTACTGTAGTTCTTAAATTTTAGATCTATATAATCCACATTGTCTTAGATTCACAAGTAATTAGACGTTTAGAAGTTTTTCCTCGTCAGAAGCTCTATTGTGAAAAGTCATCAATGATACAGTTAAACATGTCTTTTTTAAAATAATATTATTTACTTTGTAGAAATGATTTTGATGTTTTATTTAATGTCTGTTTAAGTATAGGTATTTCATCGAATAGAATACATTCATAATGAATTGATATATTTTCAGATTTTTTATTTTGTTTAATAGAATTAAATATTGAACGAAATGAACCATGTCCAAGTTGTTCAAATGATTCAATTTGATAATGATAACAAATAATTTGTTCAATATATTGCTGATCTATTATTGATCTATCAAGTATTTGAAGAATAAATTGTTCAAGATCTTCAACTGAAATTTTACATATTGTATTATTATTATTATTATTATCATCATCATATTCTGATGAAGAAAATTTAAATTTCGTATCAATAGAAAATAATAATTGTTCATTTTGTGCTATATAATTATTAAAAGTACCATGACCTAATTCTTGAAAATAAGTTACTTTAAATTTTTCACATAAACGTTGTTCAATTCGAGATAATAAAGTAAATGTAAATATTTTTAATGAACTAATTTGTTCTTTAAATGCTTGAAAAATTTCATTATCATTTGGATGTTTAATTATTGGTTCCAATGATTTTCTTTCTAATTCAATATCATTATCGGATGAATCAGATGAATGAAAATATATTTTTTTGTTTGTATTACATTGAGTTTTAATTGGTAATTCTTTTGATTGAATAGTTTGATCAGGTATTTCCAAATGACCATGACAAATAGCTATTTGAAATATATTTCTTAACATTGGATCTTTTGAAATAATATCAAGTGTATGAGAGATTTTTCGAAATGACGAATAATCTAAATAAATATTCATTTTATCTAAGATATTAAATTTATTGACAAATTGACATATGTGGGGTAAGATTTTTTTTTTGTACCCTGATTGGCCAGGAAACCTTCTTGACTTGAAAGTGCCTTTTCATGTCGAACTCTGCAGTTAAGGTAAACCCTAAAGATATCTAAGCCTTCTATACAGAGTTATAGACATTTTAATCTATAGAAATGATACTCAGATCGAACAAGCATGCTCGTAAAGTGTCATATTTAATTTTTTACTATGTAAAATAATGAAAATTTTCTTGACCTACTGTGACAAACTTCACGACAAATTTCAATAAGATCATTAATTATATCAATTGGATCCATTGATGCATAAATTTGACGTTGTTGTTGTTGTTGTTGTTGTTGATTATTATCTAATTTATCATTAATAGTTTTTGAAATTTTTTCAATTTCTTTTTGTACAAGATCAGTTAATATATAACTTAATTCTGTTCGAGCTATTTCCATTGTTTTACGTTGATTTGCTTGCATACTTTTAATACACTAATAAATAAAAACAAAATTTATTTATGAAATTAATTTATATGTTTTAATCTTACATTTCTTGCTAAATATGCACTTTTCATTCGAATACCTAATTGATAAATATTTTTAATCTGAACTTGTTTAGCAATAAATTTGAAAAAATTTTCAATATTTATTTCATTTTCTGTTTTCCAAACAGATTCTTTAGTCATATATTGATCAAGATATTTTAATATATCAGAACTTTTTAAATCTTTTTTTATATATTCATTTTGAATATTTCTTAATCGAAATAATTCAACAATTTTTGGTTGTTTTTCTATAGGACCAAGTAATAATTCATTATAATCATTTTTATAAAAAATATGAGCCAAATCATTTTCTAATTCATTTAATGTACCTATTGTTTGCCAATAAGCATAAGCATCAAGATAAATATTTATTTTATTTTGTGTTCGAATAAGATTATCAATACAAGCAATTTGATCAGCACGTTGTATACCTATATTACCAAGATCTTGAACATGAAAATATATTAAAATACGCCAAATAACATCATTCCATCGTACTAAATGTCCTTCATCATGAAGAAGAACTATTTGTTTTGCAGCTATTTCATTAATATGCTAAATAAATAAGCATAGATTTATCAATATAGACAAAAAATATAATTGATGTCAAAAGTTTTTCTATTAATTTGGATTTTTAAAATCGTATAGTAAAGTTGCACAACATTAAATTAATAGGATTAAATGCTTGTATAGCAGAAGTCAAATACTATATATACGTTGCAGTAGAAATTAAAATTTTAATCTCTACTATAGGAGAATTTTAAATTTTACTAGAAACCTATCTTCTGGAAGTATCTTAAGTTCTACTGTAGTAGAAATTAAAATACGCGTTTATATTTATAATGATCTAAGGAAGTACAGACATGATTTATAAGTAGCATAGAAAGCAGTAGAAGAAACTATTGAATACATCAAAAAGTTTACATCTATATATATATATATTTGAACAACATTTCTTTTTAGTAGGATGTCATTTGATAACACACAGTACTTTAGTCACTTGGGATGAACATTTTTTTTTGTAACACAACAATCATTACAAGCACAGATTTCTGCAGTTGAATTAATCCTGCTACTAATGTAATCTTTACAAACTTGAAAAGATGTTTGTGTTGGTAATGTTTGAGAATTAATAATGCATAATTCTGAAAAATTACATTTTGTTGTGCAAAGATGATAGATATTCATATTATCAGATGATTGTTTGTATTGAAATAACTTTACATAGTAAAATTTTTGGTGTTGTGTTGGTTCTATCGACTTTATCAATTTTTGTGCCAGTCAAATCTCCAATTTGGTATTGTCGTAATTTCTGAGCATCATCATATAATCTTTGTCTTTTAGCAATTGTTTTCATATACGTTTCTTTAGCTTCATCTTGGATTTGTTTATGTCTATCTAATGTTGAATTATCATTGATAACAAATTTTAAACGAAATTTTTCGTTTAAAGATTCGATATGCTTATCAAGTTTGGAATTAAATAGCTCCATTTCGTTTTATATTATATCTTTTTTTCTTTGATAGCATCACGAGAAGTATAGATTAAACATACAAATTTTTTTTTTGTTTCTTTTCTTTCGAGATATTATCAGCAATATAAACAGGTATTTTAATTACTACTACAATAGAAATTAAAATACTTCCAGAACACAAGTTTCTAGTAGAAAATGAAATTTCAATTTCTACTAGTAGAATTTTAAATTCTACTACAACGTATATATAATCTTAGACAAATATAGTCGTCCTTCATGAAGTGCTAGTATTCTTTATACTATTGAACTAATATGTAAGAGTCATCCATACGATAGTAAACCCTAATCGCAAGGACTAACCCGTCCTCTGTTAGTTCACATGTATTGAACGTATGATTCAGGCATAATCTTTCTCTTGTAAAAAATATATTCAGCGAAAATATGCGTTCAAAAAGTTTTTGTTTGTCGACTTCATTTAGTTCTGTGATTTTAAACATTTCAGAATAGACTTATTGTCGCATGAAAACTTTCTATTGAAATTTTCAAAAGAATTGATTAAAATCATCATGAAAAAGATTCATCTTACTAAAAATTAATATTTGCTATTCAATAGACCTTCTTAATGAAAAAACAATAGCTCAGTTATTTTGAAAGTGATTCCTAATGATTTGAATTGAATTATATTTACTTGTAAAGGAATTCGTTGTGTAATATTATTTGTTTTGGCTGTAAACGGAATAATGTTTGGTGTTGAAGAAAAAGGTGAACGAAGTGAGAATTCTAATGGATTTGTATTTGTACTTGAATCATGTTTGATTATAATTGGATTAGATTTTTTTTGAGTTGTTGAAGGAATAGGTTCGGGTGTATCTGAATCAGAACTACTAGATGAAAAAATTAAACGACTACGTTTAGATACAGATGAATGAGAATCTAAATGAAAATAATTTTATAATGAATAAATATTAAAATTTAATTTTTACGTTGTTTTTTCAAAGATGAAGATTGATTGAATGTTCGTTTATTAGTTCGTTGTGTTTCAGATTGTGATGGGTATTGTTCAATAAGTTGAGTTAATTTTTTAACATAAATTTCCCATGGAGCACAATCAATTTCAACTTGATGTTTCAGTCGATTTGTTTGTTTATCATAATCATCTTTTGATAGAATACCAGTAGAAAATGAATTATCAATCTTATTTTGTTGAGATATATATGTTGATCTAGTTGTTTTAACAGCTGTTTCAGCAAATTCTAAACCTTGCTTAGCTGTTACATATTGTCGATTATTAAGAAGAGCTGTCTGTTTGACTCTACAATACGAAAAAAAAAAAAAATGAAACTGAATAAATAATAGAATTCTTACAATCCCGAGACCGTTGATAAACCAACACTGTTCGACATGATGATATTCTCAATCAGAAAATAACAATAAATTAAACTAAAAATTACTGATTTTCGAGTTTTGATCGAGTTAAAAGGTGATAAATAATTGATTAGTTAAGTTATAGATGAATCCGAATAATTAAAAGAGGTCGCAAGTTATCAATAGAAAACATCGGTCGACATATTAATTTATGGAACTCTCTAAAAAGAATTTTTGTATTTCATTACCAGAGAATTGCATCAATAATATGCCGAGTTTATATTAGTATTAAACTATCTTTTATTGTTAATCAAATACTTAAAAAACGAAAAATTTAGTTGTATTCTCATTATTTTATTTTATTCTTCAAAATAGAATACGAGATAACGATAGAATGGCCATTAAAACCTTTTTTTAACTATCATTATCATGAATATATACAGTATCGAAAACTCTAAATAGTATCGTATTGAAAAAGAGAATGCATCTCAACAATTGCTATTTTATAAAGAAAAGAAGCGTTATTTCCTTATATATTCTTTCATAGTTCTCCGTAGGATTAAAGTCGCAATTAAATCATTTAAGAAAGCGATTTTTACAGAAAATCATGATTTTCCATGCGACATTTACATTGATTGAACCTAGTCATAATGCTCGACTCTCGAACTACCACTGTGTCTTGACAGGTATACGACCGTCTTTTTATCATCGTCCGCATAAAAGTTTTTCATGAATGAGAAGAGAGATGGTTTTGTTCTTTTCCATGCAAGGTTGTCGATGTTTTTTAGAGATCGGCTAGGATGAGGCACCGCGTGCATCTAAACAGACATTTGGCTAAAAATGAAAATTACGCTTTTCCAAGATTTAGATATACAGGAATATACTCTATCAAATGATATAAATAACTTCGTTAGAATCCTTAAAGAAACTCAAAAATTAGCCTGAAAATCATCATATCATCAGGAAAATTCAAATCTCACAAAATTAAACTATTCGACAGACAAACCAAGTATATTTTCGGTATCTTCAAGTCGAGCTCTATACAATAGTATAAAATATTTTTTAATTTGTATGTTTAATTTCTGAGAAAAAGAAATAATATTTTTTCCTACAATATCATCCGAACGTCTAGTTCCGTAAAATGAGCAATCCAACCTCTAAATGTTGTCAGACTGTTCTTCTATCTACTGTTGCTAACCTATGTTAGCGCAAACATTCCTGAACTGCACAGTGGATTTTCAAAAAACTTAGATTTTTTAGCTTTTCTGGCTTTGAAAAATATTCAACCGACAAAAATAATATATTCAGGATCAGCATATTAAACTGCGTCAAATGATATATAAGACAAAACAATTTTGAAGAAGACAAAATTTTCTCGAAAAAATGAAGGCAAGGTTCCTCTCAAGCATTTTTCGTTGAAAAAGCTTTTTCTCTTAAAAATGCTTTTATGCGTCAAGTTCAATCATTTCTGAGCGAAGAAATTCATTTCCGAACAAGAAAGTTACAGGTCTTCCTGTCATGCGAAATATGCACACTGTGAGGAGTGGGGTTAAAACTTTGGGAGAAATACCGAAAATTCACACAGAAAGGCCTTTCATCCTTGGAGTGCTAGAAGTAGTGATCGCGGGGAGAAGAACGACACTCACTGTAACCCGATCCTTTCCACAATAGGCGACCTGTCGGTCTCTTCTCAATCTTATTCGTCTCGCAGCGACATTATCTGCTTTTATTTATTTTTCTTTCTGTTAGAGAAAGACAAAAAAATGCTGTTTCAAAATCTGGTTTCTATCGAAAGTTATCATAAAGTTGTAAAATATTGGCAGAAAGTCGAATATTGCGTTGTAAGTAATGTAAAATCAAATGGATTGATATTAGAGAAACAAAACAAGATAAGATAGTTGAGTAAGTATTTTTCATTTATTTCTATTTATTATATCATGCATGACAAAGAATAAAATGTTTAAGTTCGATCATAGTTCTATTAAGAATTTGAATTGTTTTTGGAATAATAGATTTCAGTTTAAATATCAACTTTGAAATGAATCAGGTTACAATCTTTTTGAAAACTTCATCATGAGTGCATAGATTACAAAATTCCTTTTGAGAGATTTTCCCGTCTTTGTTCAAGTCATATTGTTCAAAGATTGTACTTAAATGAGTCTTGAATGCTTCGAATTCTTTCTCATCGATCGATTCTTCAGTCGCTTTAGATGCAACGAAAATGTTTTCAATCTCAGCTCGTGAAAGAAAACCATCGTGATTGAAATCACATAGAGCAAACATGAGTGAAAGTTTTTGTCTCGGTGCACCAGGTGTCATCAAGCAAGAAGCCAGTATAAATTCATTAAAGTCGACTTTTCCTGAAAAAACAAAAATACGATCATCTACAGAAAAAATGATTACAAAAAACTTACCGGAATGATCTCGATCGAAAAAAGCAAAGACTCGCTTGCCTACTTCCACACTATCAGAATCATCGGTTTGGGGTGTTGCTTCGTTCCATAGTTTGATGAATTCTTCCTCTGTAAGTTGACCACTGGTTGATGCCTCCCGAAATTCTTCTACAAAAATGAAACAATGTAACAAGTTTGAACTATTTTACGAGATACAAACTGAATGTTTCTTGAATTTCTGATTCGCTAAGCTGCGACCTTTTCTTGAGAGTATTGAGAAACTTGTGACTCAATTCAATTTTGCCTGTTGGTTTGCCTGGTTTACTTGTCATTTCGTCAAATATTGAAATTAGTAAAAACTTCTTGAATTGATTTTAACGATCTAAAATAACAAGAAGAAAAAAAAACAAATCGACGCCTTTCAAATCTACATGAAATAAGCCTTTCATTCAATGATATTATTTCTCATATTTGACTAGTCAAAAAACATGTTTACTGTACATTGGTTATGACTTGTGTACGTAGCGAGAGCATTCATGCAGAGCGTTGAAAAATGCACATGCATGTAATCGAATGACATAATTACCATAGATGAGAATCGCTTTCAAATAATCACAATGCAGACTTTTTTTTTCTTATTGATTTAAAATGTTCAATGAAAGCAGCAATGTACAAAGTGGTAGTTCTATTTGTAACACTAAACTCTTTATCGTCAGTCAATGGTGAATTTCAGGATGATACTCTTTTTTTTGTTTAATGTTTTGACGAGAAAATTTTTTTGCCATGTGTGTGTCTCCGATTGTTACTCATTGTTTGATTATCAATCGAATAATGACGCTCAGGTAATTCGTGAGTGTCTATTTATATATGTTGTATCGAAGTTACATCGATCGACAAGGTTGCAACTTCGTTGATCGGTATAAATTCAATACGATATATGTACTAGTCAAATAGAGACAACGAAATGCTTATCCGAATAATAGCTTCTTCATGTTCGCCATTTCTATGACAAAATAAGTTGAGTCAAAGGAAAATATTTTCTAATATTGAATACAAATACATCAATATAGTACAGAGAAGAAAGGAACAAAAAGAAACGATGATGACAGACGAATATAAATCAAAATTAAGCACATAATGATTGAGATAAATCAAAATATTGTAAATAGCATTGAAAATGAAGATGTAAATAAAAACAAAATAGTTAAAACTAACATCGAAACATTTCAAATTATTATTATCGAAGATTGTCAAAGAAGAAAGATTTGTATGTAAATAAAATTTTTTAAAAGTATGATCTATTCAATTTATCTTTTCCTTTAACTTCTTTTATTAACAACTGTTGGAAAAAAATATGAAATAATGAACAAAGTCTTGTTCTCACAAATAACAAAACAGAAAAATAAACTATTAAAGAAAATTGAAAATTTGCTATATCAACTATTGCACCATTATACTTAAAACAAATCACAAGATGTATTAGCATATATCAAATGATCATTTTTGCTTTAAGTATTGTTCGTTTCATTAAGTGATTGTCGTTCCCATAACCATTTATGAGCTTCATATGTGATATTGCATACTTGCATTTGAATATGTGTCCTATCATCAGATAATGCCATACATAAATTCGATGTCGGATGATATATTAGATCGTTCTAGAAAACAACAGATAAATTGTTAGCATAAAAATTTGCTTCGCTTTTGCTTAAATTTATGATCAATTGAATGTGCAAACTTCGAATCTCATAAAGAAATCGAGCAACTTATTTGTACTTGAGAATAGAGTCACAGAAGTTCAAAATGATATCGTTTTAGTACGAGAATTTGTTATTAATAAAAATTCATCTACATATGATGCAAAACTGTAAGACGAAGTAATTGTATACAATGAAAGGAAAATGAACTATCAGAAAAATAAACATGTTTTATTGTGATGGAAAAGGCATTCCTGTGTGTATCTACAAGTATGATATTTGGTACTAACACTGTGTTTGATTCAAGCTTCATCAGCAATAAGCAAACTTATCCTCTCGACAAAATGGATTGAATTTTAGAAGCAGAAAGACACTAAGTAAATCTGAAATCACTTGATTCACTTGTCTTTTTATGGAATTTCAGATGATCTCTTCTTTACATTAGCTACGAAATCTATAAATGAAACTTCAAATATATCGATGAGCGAAGACATTTAAAAGAGGTACAAACTACCATCAAAGAGCCGATTCTGACTAAAAATCAATAGTAATTCGATTTGTTTATCGTTCAATAGTACTCAAAATAAAATACTCAACATCGAAACCATGTTCAGCATGAAAAATTGATTTGAGCTGTATATGTTTTGAATTCATACGATAACTTTTATTTTCGTCGAAAATTTCGGTACGCATCTTACTCAGAGATATGTCAAAAAGTAAATTAGTCTAAAACATCATGGTGACCATAAAAAAACATAAGTTATGAAGTTTCAATATCATCATTAAGCTTATAAAGAAGTATGCCTAAATACTAAAAACGAGATTTTTAGATGAACGTATTTTTTGACGTACCTCCGTGACGGGGGATCCCGAGATCGACGAAAATAAAATTCGCCGTATGCTTTTGAAACATACATAAGTTGATTCAGTATTTTATGCTGAGTACGA